AGAGAATTTTTTTAATTTTAATTTTTTTTAAGTAATCTCTAAACCCAAGGTGGTACTTGAACTCTTGACCCCAAGATTAAGAGTCACATGCTCTCCTAAGCCAGCCAGGTGCCCCCTCTTTGTCTTTGTCTTACTTTCTGGATATATCCTTGACTATCGTATAACTTTTTTTTTTTTTTTTAAATCTCACAGCCTTTTAAATAAAATTTTACTTTATCATATCTTAAATTTCCAAGTGCTTTGTCTATTCCCTCTTTTGGTTTGGTGTCTCAGGCTTTGTAGTCACATTATTTTTTTTTTAAGATTTATTTATTCATTTGAGAGAGCGAGAATGAGAGAGAGTACATGAGAGGGGGGAGGGTTAGAGGGAGAAGCAGGCTCCTTGCTGAGCAGGGAGCCCAATGCGGGACTCGATCCCGGGACTCCAGGATCATGACCTGAGCCGAAGGCAGTTGCTTAACCGACTGAGCCACCCAGGTGCCCCTTTGTAGTCACATTTAAGAGTGAGGCACTTAAAAAAAATTAACAGTGTGGGGGGGGAAATGTATGTGTTGGAGGGTGCTTGCCAATCATTAAGCTTCACTGAGGGTTGAAGGTTACTAGGCTTTGGGGAACTCTGCAAAATGTTAACACATGAACGTTTTGGGGGCTTATAGTTGCACCTGGGAATTCTGCTTGAGGGTTAAGGAAGGTTGGGGAAGACTGGTGTGTAGACTTTTACTTAAATCCCCCTTTTGTTTCTTAAACTGTCATACTGTGCCTCATGTCCTTATTTTTAGTCCCTAGAGAGGGAACCGTCTGCCTCCTGAAGAGGGTCAGGTGGGGAAGGTTTTGCCCGAGGGTTTTATTGTTCTGATCACTTGCTTTGTGCCCTTGCTTTATCCCAACAGTGCCTGGTGCTTCCAAATGCTGAACCCCTCTCAGGAATTTTGAGGAGCTGGTGAACTGACTCCCCTTTCTCCCACTTACAACTTCATTGCTTCTGCTTAGTTACCGTGGCTCCATTAGTATTCTGTATTCTAAAATGTCATTGAAATATGTTGTCCACTGCTATTCCCTCTTCCTTTGACCTTAAATATATATATATATATATACTTAAAAATCTTTTATTTATTTATTTGACAGAGACAGAGACAGCGAGAACAGGAACACAAGCAGGGGGAGTGGGAGAGGGAGAAGCAGGCCTCCCACTGAGCAGGGAGCCCGATGTGGGACTCGATCCCAGGACCCTGGGATCATGACCTGAGCCGAAGGCAGTCACTTAACCAGCTGAGCCACCCAGGCGCCCGACCTTAAATGTATTTTTAAAAGATTTTATTTGAGAGAGAGAGAGAGCATGAGCAGGCTGGGAGGGGTAGAGGGATCTCCACTGAGCAGGGAGCCCAACATGGGGCTTAATCCCAGGACCCTGGGATCATGACCTGAGCCAAAGGCAGACGCTTAACCAAGTGAAGCACCCAGGAGCCCCTCTTTGACCTTAAATATTAATACAGTTTTGTTTTATTATCATTTTAGTGGGCTTTGGGGAGGGAGAATCAGGGTAACTTCTGTTAAATGAAATTCCCCCTTTGAAATCCTAATAGACCCCCGTTTATTCTGCAGCTGATGAGTAGAGCCCTGTAAATGCCAAGCCTAAAGCCAGGGCCTGGGAATTCAGAAATACATGTGATACGGTAACTAACCTCTGGGAGCTCACATTAACATACTGTGATGTGTCAGCAATATGAACAAACTCTGTTTGGCTGTTTGTATTCTCAAGCCCAGGTAGACCCTGTCCTTGAGATTATCTTGGGACCTGCAAAAGTGGCCAGACTGGTGTGATCCAGTCTCTGTCCCCTGTTGTGACTCCCTAGAAGTTAATGACAGCCCTGTGACTGGGCTGCCAGGGGTGCTGGGGGTGAGATGGGTAAGAGGAAACAATGGGCTTTAAGGCCTGTAGTCTTGATTTTTCCTAGCTGACTTTGAGGAAAGTATATGGTTATAGCTATGTAATTTTGACTGTCTTTCTAAGACCAGGGGTTCCGTGCTTCCTAACCCCCTCCCCCCAGAGGAAGTAATATTCTGTTGAAATACTTGTCCTGGTTCTCAGGAGCTGGGCCAAACTGTAAAACAGCTGTGACCGTGTGCCGCCTTGGTTCGGTCCTTTGGCCTGAGGGTGAGCTGCCTTCAGGCCTTGGGTCTGAGTCATTATCAGAAGTGGTGGGAGGAGTTTATCATGGGACTCTGCCCACCAATCAGACGGAGGTTAATAGAGTCCTGATGGCAGGGAGCAGGCTACCTGCAGGCCAGTAGAGGCAGGGCCCTGGAGTCACATACCTGTCCTTAAAGGCCCAGCCTGGTGTGGCTGGCTAATAGTCCTTCAGTCTTGGCTCTGTGGGCAGGCAGCTGTGGAGGGAACTGAGCCTTGTGGCTCATGGTGTGGGGCAGAGGTGGAGTGCCCTTGAAGCTCTGAGACCCTGAGCTGGCCATGCAGGGGAACAGCACTCGCTGTCTCTGCCCAGCCCAGGGACGGAAGCAAGAACAGAGACATTGTCGGGAGAGAGCCCGAGTTAGGGGTGTCTGAGGTGAATGATCCTTTTAGGACTCTGACATACAACAGCCTTTGAAAGGGGTAATGGAGCACTGGAGAGAAATCATGGCAGCCATCTTGCCATCAGTCCCATGGGCAGCCTCAGAACTTCTCTAATTCAAGCCCAAGGGATTTGAACACAGAAGGGCATGTGGCTCTTGTATTTCCTCATTCTCTAAGCTGGGATGAGGGCAGCGGACAGCCACAATTGAAGGTGTCTTCCCAGCTTTCCCTCGCTTGGTGCTCCCTTACCCTTCTTCAGGATGTCTGGCCAGCAGCCTGGCTCGTTCTTGCAGGCAGACTGTTTGGGAGTTTGGTTAGTGTCAGAAATGGCAAGCCCCTGGACTGGGCTGCTTCAGTGACATGTCTTCTGGGGCCTCAGTCGTCTTTCTTCCTGCCTGATCCTCTTGTTTCTCCACCACCAGGTGACACCTCCGAACTTCTCAATGTCACAAGTGCCCAACACTTCCAGCTGTCCCCAGGCCTATTCTGAACTGCAGACACTGTCCCCCAGTGAGCGGCAGTGTGTGGAGACAGTGGTCAACATGGGCTACTCATATGAGTGTGTCCTGAGAGCCATGAAGAGGAAAGGAGAGAATATTGAACAGGTGAGTGAGTGGTTGGCTAGGGGGTGGGGGGAGCCAGCCTGGAGAGAGGTCCTAGACCAGTGTCCTGCTTGTATCCTAGAGCCCCATCCCACTCATAGGCCCAGCGTCCTTTCTTGTGAGTTCGCGGGACTCAGGGTGTTTTGTTGGGGAAACAGCAGCCTTAGCAGCAGTGCTTCTACTTAGGGGGCTGCTCTGGGACCCAGGCTGGAGGAAAGCCCTGGGAGTATTAGAGCCGTTGGGACTGTTCTCTGCCCCTCCTCAGAGGGCACACTAGGCTTGAGATACGGTCAGATGCCTCCTTCCAGAAATGTTTATCCTGTCATAGCTGCCCTGGGGTGTTCCAAAATAGGGTACTGGAGTCTTAAACCTTGGGATCATTTTCTGACTTGGGCTGTTTGTTAGAATATCCTGCCCAGGCTGTGGAGATGACATGGAGATGTGAGTCAGTTGTGACAGGAACGCCTTTGAAAAATTACTCATGTTTATAAGGGTGTGCCTACCTGTTCAGCAAATAGTCACTGAGGTCCTGCTATGTTGGATGCAGTTCATGATACAAAATCAAGTCCTAGCTTGGTGGGGAGCAGATACCACACTTGCTGGCTTGTGTAAGACTCTTGGGAAGCACCGACAAGAGTGGTAATAGGTACTCACCTTTTTCTTTTCTTAAGATTCTCGACTATCTCTTTGCACATGGACAGCTCTGTGAGAAGGGATTCGACCCTCTTTTAGTGGAAGAGGCTCTGGAAATGCACCAGTGTTCAGAGGAAAAGGTAGGACCCTTCTGTTTCACGGAAACCCTCTGGAAAGGAGGGACAAAGTAGCGTCCTCTGGCCCAGAACCCCCTTTCCCTACCAGTGACTACAGGCAGAGGTAGTCAGAATGCATTTTCTCTCAAGTGTCCAGATAGGCATTTGGCTAGTTTGGGTTGTTAGGTTTGACAAAGCATTGGGTTGAAGACTATATAGAGTCCCAGGGAAGGGAAAGGGAAATGACCTGGGCAAAAAGCTAGACTTCTGGATGATTGGGGAGATTGCTAGTCACTTTGCCTAGCCTGCTCCCTGGAGAGCAGCTGTTTCTGGGTTCAGTATCCTACCTTGGTGTGCGTGTGGATTTTGGTTAGTGGGACCCATGAGTCAGCAGGATTTGGAACTGGGCATAGTTCCTGAAGGATGATGGGTTGTAGCATCAACTGGTCTGCCCTGGCTTCCTCCACAGCCACCCTCTGCTTGCTAGGGGACCTGAGGGACTCTCAAGGCTCTGGCAAAAGATGCAGACTTCCCCAAGCAGCCCCCTACATGCACATTCCTCCACTCTGCTATGTGGCCAGACCCCTCTCTTCAATCTTCATTCTCTTCTGTCCCTTAGATGATGGAGTTTCTTCAGTTAATGAGCAAATTTAAGGAAATGGGCTTTGAACTGAAAGACATTAAGGAGGTTCTGCTACTTCACAACAATGACCAGGACAATGCTCTGGAAGACCTCATGGCTCGGGCAGGAGCCAGCTGAGACCAGGCACTGCCTAGACCCTGCCGTGGAACCGCCCCTGCAGGAGGCCCTGAGGAGCCCATGTGTGGGGAAGGAGAAGGGGCACACTTCCTGATTTTCTTTTGGGGGTGGAAGGTCAGGTGTGGAGACTGTGCTTGCCAGTCTCTGAGCTGGGGAGAAAGTAGGAAAGATTCGGGCATGTGAATGCCTCCAGCACTGCCCTGGCTCCTTCAATATTAAATGTATTTGTATTTTGAGAAGTGTCCTTCCCACCTTGGCCCTCCTGGGGTCTGTATGTCCTCAGCCGAAACCTGGCCCAGTTGCCAAAAGGAGTCAGGGAGAAGGGGTGGGAGGGCCAGACTCAGTGCTGCTTTAGGGCTAGATGCTTCCCTCCCCTGCACTGGTGGACTGAACTCTAATCCAAGTTGAGTGCAATTGAAAAGGTTCTTCCAGGGTTTTTTTTTTTTTCCTCCTCCTTTTAACAAAGTCTCTTAGTGTTACACTGGTTCTGCAATGTCTCTGAGGTGCAAAGAATGCCCTTTCCCCATGGGGTGCTGAGTTGGCCTCGTCTGCCAGGCAGTTCTCATGCTTCCCTGCCCCAGCCTGTTTCGTTTGGCTTGGTTTGGACCACAGTCCTCTGCTACCCAGGATTTTAGAGCCTCCTGCTCAAGGAAACAGTCATCAGTTTAAGAAATCATTGGCCCCTTCCCAGCATACTGAGTGGGGGAGAAACAGGCTGCAATAGAGTAGCCCAGCACTAACTCCACCTCGGTTCTCCTTGGAGAACAGCCTCTCCCTCCAGCCCCCTGCTCTAGGATGTCACAATGAGTTAACACCTAGTCATAGAAATCAGTCTCTTTCCTTTGTTTTATATTCTGTTGTACATCATTAAAGATCTAAATACAAAGGATATACAGTCTTGATGAATCTAATTTGCTAACTATTTTGATTCTTCAGAAAACTACTAATAAAAGTCTAAAAGGTATGTCCTGCTGTGATAATTTCTTTATTGCCAAGTGCTATTTTACTGAGGGGTTGGGGTGGGTGGGGAAGGGATTCCTGCTTGGATTTGCTGGGGATGAAACCGGCACTAACCATTTTCTGTCTTTTTAGTACTCTCTTCCCGCTATAGGCCTGTGGGACCCAGGAGCTGGCCCCGCAGTCGGCCCTGGCTTTATAAACCTGACCTAGCTCAGTCTCTGGAACCAAGGACATGCCTTCCTGCGAGACTGACTGTGGAGGTGAGACAGTCTGGGCTTTTGGGGCAATCACTCAGAAATGAGGAAGTACCTTTTCCTGTGGATTCAGACTGCTTCACCAGCTCTCAGCGGTGCTGCTGTAGCTGAGAGAACTAGATTCCTCCCTGAAGTTTCTTGTCCTTATACTTAATGCCATCCCACAGTCCCTCTAGTGCTCTTGGCTGGCAGTGGGTCTCATTCTTTTAGTGATCATGTGAGGAGATGGCAGAGCCTTTGGGCCACGAAGCTGGGAAGAGGCCGCCCTCTAGTGCTCAGTTCAGGCAAAGGGTGGCAGGGCTGTAGTCTCAGAAAGCCAGTCAGCCCTTCCGCTACCCTTTTATTTTTTTTATTTATTTTTTAAAAAGATTTTATTTATTTGACAGAGAAAGACACAGCAAGAGAGGGAACACAAATGGGGGGTGGGAGAGGGAGAAGCAGACTCCCTGCCGAGCAACTCGATCCCGGGACTCCAGGATCATGACCTGAGCCGGAGGCAGTCGCTTAACCAACTGAGCCACCCAGGCGCCTTCCGCTACCCTTTTAATTAAGCCCTCCTTTTGAAACCTTAAAAAGGTATCCTTTTCCCTGTAAGAAACTGAAGTTTCCACACATTACAATGGGCATCAGAGCCAAGGCTGTGACACCTGCGTCTTGTTTGACCCAGGGTGGCCCTAGGAAGTGGCAGACCACTTTGTATTTGTCTGGAGCTTCTTTCTCATGAAAAGATACACAGCAGGCAGAACTCACGTGAAGGGGTGTGTGTATAAAAATTCTGCCTCAGAGTCTCCGACTGTTGACTAGGGCTCTCAGTGCCAAGATACAACCGAACACAGGCCCTTGAGAGGGAGTGGACAGCCAGGGTGATGCTGGATAAAGGTAGGGTGAGGAGATCCTCCACTTCAACTTTGCCACGAGTGGGCATGGCAGGTGAGGAGTCAGGAGCCTGGAACTGCTCCAGGGGCAGGAGTGCTATTGAAAGAGTAATGCAGTGATGTGGGCACAGAATTCAGCTAACAAAGCCCCTGAGTTCAGCATGTTTTCTTCCCCAGCTTGTGATCTCTCACCTCTAGGTTACCACTGGCCCACCCCATCCTCTGGTCCTCAAACTCAGAAACATCCACAAGGTTATTAGACCCAAATGTGTTTTCACAGACAAGGGGTCGGTAAGACAAATTCTCTTCTAGCCCCCCAGAAAAGGGAGGGGTATATTAAGTTTTTTAGGCTGCTCTGTCCTTCCCTACAGATGCTCCTGTGCTTGGAACTGAGGGACAGAGGCTTGGCCCTGAGAGAGGAGCTGGGGCCTAGTCAAGGCCATGTGTGGCTGGGGAGAGGCCAGCATGGGCAGGACCGGGGAGTGGGTTCTAGGATTTGTAAGGAGGGCCTGGCAGAGGCCCCTTCAGCCCCCGGGAATTCAGCACAGGCTCCTGAACTGCTCCCATCACCTCATACTGGATCTTGTTCTAAGACACCACTGTCCTCTCAGGGGCTGTGGTCGGCCTGTGGCAGGCCAGGTACAGCTGAAGCTGGCTCCTCAGACTCTGGATGCACTTGGATTTCAGAGCCAGGATTTCATCCAACTGGGTCACAGTATCTTCAAAATCCTGAGAAAGGAAACAAAGGACAAATGGAACTTTCGGTTTTGCTGGCCTTCTGTCAGGATCTGCTTTTCTAGTCCCTTTTCTTGCAGGAAGTTTTCAGAACCTAGGCCCTTCCTTCTGGAAAGTCTGCAGGATAGTCACTGTGGCACAGGGTGAGGCTCATTTCTCTGCATTTGAGAAACTTTTTAAGATTTTATTTTTAATCTCTAAACCCAACGTGGGACTTGAACCCACAATGCCAAGATCAAGCTTCGCACACTTCACCGACTGACTGAGCCAGGCACCCCTGCACTTGAGAAACTTCTATGTAGAGAGGTATTCTGCAGGGCAGAGGGGTTTGTAAAAGTACCTCTGGTTGGGGGGGTGCCTGGGTGGCTCAGTTGGTGAAGTGTCCGACTCTTGATCTTGGCCTAGGTCTTGATCTCAGGGTCCTGTGTTCAAGCCCCGTGTTGGGCTCCACATTGGGCGTGGAGCCTACTTAAAAAAACAAAGTGCCTCTGGTTGGCATATGGCAGGTCACTTACCATCACAGGGAGGGCCTCCAGCAAGCCAATAAGGCAGAACGGCAAAGGATAGAGGCTGGAAACATTTCAGCCTGGAAATGGGGAGTGCAGCACCATCTCCCACCTGTCCTTGCCCCTCCTCGAGCTGTGTTAGGAATGGCAAGAGGAGGCCCAAGTCCTCTTAGAGTAGGACAGCAGACCCTTACCTAACACATAACCACAGCAAACAAGGATGGCCAGCAAACTACCTGCAGGCTAATTCCCAACAGACCCTGAGTGTCCAGCCAAGGCCACTTACATTAAGAGCCAGCTGGCTCATCAGGGTCTCCTCCTTGAAGCCCAGTTCTGCCATTTTATCCAGCTGTTCCTGGTGTGCTCGGATGACCACCTGCCTGGGAACACCAGAGGGGACACTGTGATCCTTTGGGCCTCCCATCTCTCCCGGGCAGCTTTCTGGGGCTGAGCCTCATTTCTAGGCCAGGAACGGCCCCTTCCCAGAATGGTCAAAGCTTTGACCAGGGCCAGCCTACCACCCCTCCTCTCCTGTCACTTGTTCTTCTCAGGACTTGTCTAGGGACTAAAGTAGACCAAGAAGATACTGGGAAAGAGGGGCTTCTCCGTCTGTCCCTGCCTCCCCAGCTACACTGAGGGACGGGGATGAGTGCTGCTTCTCCCTTGCAGGAGCTTCCCACAGCTTCCCTGCCAAAAGGCTCAAGGCTGTGACCACTGCAGCGGGCACACTTGGCACAAGGTGGAGCCTGCTGCCTCACCTGCCATCATTTTTACTTCCTAGGGGGAGTCCAGGGACCAAAGCAGGGTGTTTGAGCTAGAAACTGGAGGATCTGCCTTTTGTCGGACGCTGCCGATGGGTAGAGACCATGGAGACAGCAAGATCATCTCCTGGGACAGGCAGGCTCCTCACCTGCATGTCCTTCTCTTTGTCCATGGCCCTGGCCTGAGCCCCTGGGGGCAGCCCGCACACAGCTGGCCTAGACATCAGGAGCCCTAGCAAAGGGCTGTAGCCCCTATTCCCATACACCACCCTCTCCCCGGCCCCTAATGCTGAGGGGCCGTGCTGGATCTCTCTGCCTCCTTTCTTTCTCTATGCTTTCTGTCGCCTTTCTGCTGCACCATCCACAGCATCCTTTGGGGAAGGCAGCACAAATCACCAGTCCCTCTGGTTTTGATCTTTACCATCTTGGAAGTTGCCCAGCCTACCTTGGTTCTGAGGGCACAAGGCTGTAGCTGTTGTATCCCTGGGCAGTACTTCCAGGAACACAGACCCAACAGAATGAAGAGGATTCTGATTTTACCACAGGTCACAGGCTTGCTGAAGGGGACAGATCCTCCCCTTTTACTCAAGTCCCAGCTTTCCCAGACTCAGGGTTCACCCACCCTGGCAGGCCTGCTCCCTTGAAAAGCGGGACCAAGCCTCTCTAGTTGTAGTATAGCTCTGACACTGAATCAACGATAGCCATTCCCAGGACAGACAGATGTTAAGCTGGGGTGGACGGAGGGGTGCCAAAGGGACTCAAGTCTTGGGGAGAGTGTCCAACTTACTGTGCAGGCCCCAGGGTGAGCTGATGCAGTGTCCCTGCAGTCTTTGGAGAGCAGCCAGGGACCAGGGGAGAGCCTGGTCTTGCTAAGCACCTTGGGATTGGCCTGTATTTGAGCCACATGATGTCCCTGTGGTAGCCAGGCAACTTGATGGGGTCTCTCGGCAAACTTAGCTCCTGCCAACCAAGTCCTGTCGGATATTTTCTTTCCTGGGCCCAGGGCTGGTCAGCCATATCACTACTTTTTGTTCTTGGGGTGATTAGAGGTGCAGGGTGGGGTCCTCCAGTATGTACGGTGGGGAAGGGCTTTCCTGGGAAACCCTGGGAGCTGCTCAGCTCTGCTGCCTCAGCATCGGCTTCATACTGCTGGCTACTCACATGTTCCTGGGAGGAGAGTGCAGGCTCTGTGCTCTGGCAGACCTCCCCTAGGTCAGCCTCATCGATGGGCAGCTTGTCAGGTGGGTGCTGACGGATGGGTGATGGGGACAGAACTGGAAGATCACCACTCGGCTTATTGTCAGGGGGAGATGATGAGAGCCACAAGTGCCCAGCTGCCAAAGACACTGGCAGGAGTGCCTTCTGATCACCAGCTGACACTGTGTGGCCCACAGATGGGCCCCCTGCTGCCATTAGACTGTGAGCAAGCCCATCCTGGGCCAGCCGCTCCAGGGGAAGAGGGCCCTCATCATCTGCATTCTCCAGAAGGGACATGGTGAGGGGAGCCATCAGTCCAGAAGCATATTCAGAGCATGTGCCTGATTCCCCTCTACAGTCTTCTTGGTAAGGGTAACTGTTTTTCATTGTTCTGGTCGCCAGAGTTGGGCTGTCTTGGCCAATTTCTCTCAGAGGTGTGCTGACTGTCTCTCTCGGGTCTGGAGATCCTGGAACTGCCCCATGGGATAGTGAGAAAATGAAACCATCTTCCTCCGGGGGGAGTGAACTACCCTCTGCCTGCCCAAGAACCTCACTTTTGAAAGCATTCTGTCTGAGTTCCAAGGCTGGGCCACCACCTATTTTCTGGCCATATACAAAGTCTACCTGGGAGCAGTAAGGCTTCTCTGCCGGGTTGTCTCTGGGAGAAAGCCCCGAGGAGGTAGAATCCTCCTCTCTGCTCCAGTCCAAAGGCACCTTATCTGGGCCGTGGCCATGACTGAGTGCTTCTCCTCTGTAGTTTGTGGGGTCCCTGGAGTACATCCAGTTTCCAATTAGACCCTTCTCGTCACCATCTGTCCTGGGGTTAAAAAGCAGACTCTGCTGCCTTTCAGCCACCTGTTCCTCAGGGCTTTGCTCCCTCTGATGAAGGAAGAATGAGCCTTCGCTGTTCTCTAGGGTGTTCCTCTGCTTTGTGGTCCTCTGACTGGAGACATGTGAAAAAGAATCTTCACTGAAATCGCTGTCATCAAGGTCCTCAGCTTGGGCTCCATCCTGGCTCTCGGAATGAGAGAAGAGGGGAGGGGTCTCATTCTGGAGCTGCCCCTCCAGGGGCCTGAACTGGCGTAAGAACCTTTCCAGTGGTTGGTACTTGAACTTCTGCTGGAGGAGAGGTGGCTGCTGGAACTGCTGGTGATAGAAGCGCAAGTGTTCCTCCCTCTCCTCCTGATGTGGAGGGATGTCTGTCCACGTTTCCGAGGCGAGCCTGGCCGGTGTGCTCCCCTCGCTGCGCTGACCGTGTTCTGCTAAGTGGCGGCGGCCGCCAGAGGAGAGCTCAGCCCGTGACGCCAGCCGCGGCTGCACGGGCCGCACAGGCTGCCCTGTCTTGGACTCGGAGGGCAGCTTCCCACGCGCTGGGGCTTCTCCGGGGCCGGCCGCCTTGCTTCCCCACCTGCGGGCACTTTTGTTGCCCATTTGATTTTTCTCAGAGCACAAGGACGCAGACTCTTCCGCCCTTTTTTTGGCTAACTGTCCAGACCGCGTGGCTCCTTTGACAGGGCTGGTCTGAACGACCCACTCTTGGGGAAGACTCCCTCTGGATCCATGCCTTTTACCGGGAACTTTAGGTACAGGTGCAAAAGGGACGTTGGGTGGGTGGCTGGCCAGAGGATGGGCCTTCCCTCTCATGGAGCCGGGAGCTGCCGTGAATGACTGCTGAAGCCCCAGCTTGACCTTTTTGGGAGAACACTTGTCCCCCGGCAGGGCCACAGGGGAGCCCTGAATTCGTTTTGGAGAAGAGTTTCCAGAGGTCTGATTTCGACTTGTAGCTGAAGCACAACATTTAACGCCTTTCTTTAGTTCTTTGACCCTGTAAATTACCATTTTATGTTAAATGTGTATTCTTGCATTGCTCCTTAATTCCTTTTCTATATTTTTCAAAAACCAAAGAAAAGTATTACAAAAGAGATGGGTGCAGTGCCTGTGATGTCCGTCCCTCACTGAGGCCTGGAGCCACCCCCCGCAGTCCCTGGGGCCTGCCTCCAGCTTGCTGAGGCCCGTCAGGCCAGATTGGCCAGGAGCTGCCCTGTGTCTTCCGTGCGCCCCGTCTCCCTGCTTCCTTTGCCTCTCGTTTCCTTGGCCTGCTGCTCGGCCAGCAGCTTGGTGCCGTTTTGTGCACCCCTTCACCCTCTTTCTGAAAAAGCTGTTCTCAGGAAAGACCTGATAAACTCATTCACTCTCAGGTGTGACTAATAAGACCTTAAGAATGGGAAAAAAAAAAAAAAGATGGGTGCAGTCTGAGGATATAAACATAAACTAAACATTCTATGATCAGAAGTTTTGGGGGGCGCGTGGGTGGCTCAGTTGGTTAAGCGACTGCCTTCGGCTCAGGTCATGATCCTGGAGTCCCGGGATCGAGTCCCGCATCGGGCTCCCTGCTCGGTGGGAGGCCTGCTTCTCTCTCTCCCACTCCCCCTGCTTGTGTTCCCTCTCTCGCTCTCTGTCAAATAAATAAATAAAATCTTAAAAAAAAAAAAAAAGTTTTGGAAATCACCTTAGTCAGGGAAGCTTCAAAAATATCTCCAGACATTGCCAAATGTCCCCTGGGAGGCAAAATCACCCCCTAGAGAATAGAACCATGCTCTATTCCACATGGGAACCTTGGAGAAGATGGAAAATCCAGAATTAGGTCTCTGCTACGATTCAGTTGTCAAGATCAGTCTCTTAACTCTGTGATATTTAAAAACACTAAGAATTTAGAATTACAAGGAGACATCAAGTAAAAATGTGATTCTCCAGTGGTCTGAAGATTCTTCATTAAAATTCCCTAGGAGGGAGCAGTACTTCTGCCTGGAGGCTCCCATAAAATGTCTTTGCCATTGTTTTGGTTTTTTTTTTTTTTTTTTTTAAAGATTTTATTTATTCATTTGAGAGAGAATGAGATAGAAAGAGCATGAGAGGGAGGAGGGTCAGAGGGAGAAGCAGACTCCCTGCCGAGCAGGGAGCCCGATGCGGGACTCGATCCCAGGACTCCAGGATCATGACCTGAGCCGAAGGCAGTCGCCCAACCAACTGAGCCACCCAGGCGCCCCATTGTTTTGGTTTTAATCCAACCCTTACAAGTAGCCAAATGACCCCTGTGGCCATTTCTGAAAATCAAGATCATAAGCCTGACACTGAGACTTGATTTAAATCTTCCCTTGAAGTCTGAGAGCGAAGGCAGGCAGGTAACATAGCTAAGCAAAGAGATGTAGAATGTGACTGAAGACACATGTGTCCATGGGCCTTTGTTTAGGTGTTGCAGTAGGGCATACATACAAGGAAACGGGCTGAGAAGAGCCACAGTCAGTCTAGATGGTTCCAAATTACTTCCTGCTATAAAAATCTTAACTATTTTAGTCTCAGTAAGAGAGAAACACCAAAATTTCCCCCTAGGAGTCACAGTAAATAATTCTAGAAAGCTGAGTGACAGAAGGAATCCTACAGGTAATTTGGTTATTGATGCTAAATGCTTCCAGTGTACTCCTCCTATCCCCAGAATCACTCCTGTCACTGAGCTTTTCTGATAGATCTGTACCTATTAGGGGTCCAGCTGGAACTTTATTTTTAGACTCCTTAGCAACATTCTAGTATATAGAAGAAAATTTTAAAGAAGAAAATTTTAAATCAGAATTGTTAAATAAGCAATAAAATCATTGTGTGTATAGATTATTACTTAAAATTAATCTCACCAGGTCTCATTTACGCACGTAAAACAAATGGCTTTCATTCATTCTCAGTAATTTATCAGACTGCTTCAAATGGAAGAGATTTTTAAAAAATATTTATTTATTTGACAGAGAGCAGCATAGGAAGGGCAGGAACACAAGCAGGGGGAGTGGGAGAGGGAGAAGCAGGCTTCCCGCGGAGCAGGGAGCCCGATGCGGGGGCTCGATCCCAGGACCCTGGAACCACGACCTGAGCCGAAGGCAGATGCTTAACGACTGAGCCACCAGGTGCCCCCTCAAATGGAAGAGATTTCTATTACACTTTTTCTGTTCTTTTTAAAGCCAAAATTATTTCAAATATTTCAATTATACTTAATACCTCCCTATGGGAAAGGGTTATTTTCATCTTCCTTTACTGAGGCACTAAGAGAGGAGATGTCTTGCTCTCTGCTCCTAATGATGAAGTTCTTACTTTAAGCAACTGTTAACAGTGGGATATGGGGAGTGGGTGGGGTTATGAAATGAAATCAGTTTATCGTTATCAATTACTGAAGCTGGATACATGGGAGTAAAGAATTTCAAGCCATATTCATTTTTTGGAAGCAAGTTTGGATCATCTCATATCTTCTATATGATCTCAGTTTGTGAAGTAGCCTTTCTTTTTAAGATTTATTTATTTGAGACAGAGCAAGAGAACATGTGAGCAGGGGGAGGAGAAGAAGGAAAGGGAGAGAATCTCAAGCAGACTCCACACTGAGAGCAGAGCCCGACTCGGGGCTCGATCTTAGGATCCCAAGATCATGACCGGACCTGAAGCCAAGAGTCAGGTGCTTAACCCACTGAGCCACCCAGGCATGCATGAAGGAGCCTTTCTTATAGCAGTGCTAGTGTGCAGGCATTAGGAAACCATGCAATAAAGGAAACCTATTTTGGGGACCTATTAATATTACTGTTGCTTAAATTAACACATAGTGAATGGTAACTATGTACCTGGTGTGGTGCTAAGCCCTTCATAACATACTATCCTCATTGACTGCACATAACTATTGTATGGGTAGATGCTAATATTATCCCCTGTCAGATAAAACTGAAGCCCAAACCTTTTGCCCAAGACTGCCCAGCTATTTCATGGCAGAAGCAGAGTCTTGACTATAGGGTCCACTCTTATAACCACTTTGTGAGGTCTCTCTCCTATTTAAATGAGATAGGTACACAGAGGGCCTCGCCTTGACACCCAGGAAGAGTTCCTCCTTTCATTCACAAATATTTATTGCGCATCTACTAGGTACCAAGTACTGTCTGGGCAGTAGATAAAGTGGAGAAATAGATAAGGTTTCTTGTTTTCATGGAGCTTAAATGACAGCTCACTTTTCCTTCCCAGTGAATTTCATAAAATGCTATGGATACTAAAGATTCCTCAACAGTAATAAAAAAAACAGGTTTCCCTCAAATAGTTTGTTAATCTTGGAGACAGCTTCTGGGAGACCAAAGAGAAGGATGTTAAGACAGGACCAGGCAGGAAAGTAGCCAGAGGAAAGGATGGAAGTGATAGCGTCTTCACCCCTGGTAGGAACCCTATGTCACCCCAGGTAAGAGATGGGGCATGGGGGTGGGGGAACCCTGGCAGATACCAAGGTCACCCCAGAAAGAGCCCTGACCATGTAGTCAGGAGGGCTAGCTTTACCGCCAGTTCCCAATAAGCCCTTTTAAAATTCCTGCCTTTCTCTGGGTTTATTTTATCCTTCTGTAACATGTCATGTCTGGGTTGATGTCTTCTGGACCTACATAGCTCTAAGTGCCTCTGCCTTGATAAGTAACATGTATTCTATCCCTTACGATTAGGGCTGAGGCTAGCAGGGAGAAAACCTTGAGCCTTCCACTCCAAAGAAATATTTCATTTCCTACTAGCCATTTAAAAGTCACTGATGGGGGCGCCTGGGTGGCTCAGGTGTTAAGCATCTGCCTTCGGCTCGGGTCATGGTTCCAGGGTCCTGGTATCGAGCTCTGCATCGGGCTCCCTGCTCCGTGGGAAGCTTACTTCTCCCTCTCCCACTCCCCCTGCTTGTGTTCCCTCTTGCTGTGTCTCTCAAATTAATAAAATCTTTAAATAAATAAGTTCCTTCTCATCAAAACATTTAAAAAAAACAAAACAGGGGTGCCTGGGTGACTCGGTTAAGCGACTGCCTTCGGCTCAGGTCATGATCCTGGAGTTCCAGGATCAAGTCCCGCATCAGGCTCCCTGCTCAGCGGGAAGTCTGCTTCTCCCTCTTACCCTCCCCCCTCTCATGTGCTCTCTCTCTCTCAAATAAAATCTTTAAAAAAAACCTAAAAAATAAAACAAAACAAAACAAAACAAAACAGTCACTGATGGGGGTGCCTGGGTGGCTCAGTCGGTTAAGCATCTGCCTTCGGCTCAGGTCATGATCCCTGGGTCCTGGGATTGAGCCCTGCATCGGGCTCCCTGCTCCGTGGGAAGCCTGCTTCTCCCTCTCCCTCTGCCTGCCAATCCCCCACTTATGCGCGTGCGCTCTCCCTCTCTGTCAAATAAATAAATAAAATCTTTAAAAAATAAAAGTCACTGATGGAGTTGTCTCCGGAACCAAGGAACGTGTCCCCTTCCTCTTGTCACATTCACACTTGTAAAATGACAAGGCCTACCACGTCACATTCTTCAGATGACCAACTGCACATTCCCATGGTACTAGGATCATTGCCTCAAGAACAGACTTCTGGATCTCAAAATCAGATCTCTGTGTGTTTGAAACACACACACACACACACACACCTGGGAGCGACTCACCGGTCAGCCTCACACACACACACACACACCTGGGAGCGACTCACCAGTCAGCGTCTCACACACACACACACCTGGGAGCGACTCACCGGTCAGCCTAACACACACACACCTGGGAGCAACTCACCGGTCAGCCTTACACACACACACCTGGGAGCGACACACACACCTGGGAGCGACTCACCGGTCAGCCTCACACACACACAGACACACACACCTGGGAGCGACTCACCGGTCAGCCTCACACACACACACACACACCTGGGAGCGACTCACTGGTCAGCCTAACACACACACACACACACCTGGGAGCGACTCACTGGTCAGCCTAACACACACACACACACACACCTGGGAGCGACTCACCGGTCAGCGTCTCACACACACACACACCTGGGAGCGACTCACTGGTCAGCCTAACACACACACACACACACACACCTGGGAGCGACTCACCGGTCAGCGTAACACACACACACACCTGGGAGCGACTCACCGGTCAGCGTCTCACACACACACACACACACCTGGGAGCGACTCACCGGTCAGCCTTACACACACACACCTGGGAGCGACACACACACACACACCTGGGAGCGACTCACCGGTCAGCGTCTCACACACACACACACCTGGGAGCGACTCACCGGTCAGCCTAACACACACACACACACACACCTGGGAGCGACTCACCGGTCAGCCTCACACACACCTGGGAGACACACACACACACACACACCGGGAGCAACTCACCGGTCAGCGTAACGCAAGGTATTCAAAGTGTGTTCGGTGGCCACATGGCTTGGTGAGATGTTGGCAATCATGCAGGTTTTGGCATCACCAATGAAAGAATCCCTCAGAACCTGTCCACACAGAAAGCAGGTCAATGAAGTCAATTAACAAAGGGCACACTGACTACTTACTGTGTGCAGGACACTGGGCCATAGCTCCCCTCTCCGCGACAAAAAGGCAATTTACAAAGAAGAAATATAAATGATCAAAAACACACAAAAAAGGTACTTCACCAACCAATCAAAGAAATTCAAACTAGTAAGAATACTAATATTTTTCACCCATGAGATTAATTAAGACTCATGATACCCTGCCTTGGTGAGAGTCTAGGGAAATGGTCACTTTTCTACATTGCTACATTATTTATGTACTGTGTACCATCAAACGGTGTAAGCTTTTGAGAAGGCAGTTTGGCAATATGTATAAAAATATAAAAAATGTGCATGCTTCCACGACATATTCCTAAAGAGAATTGCTCAGTTGATAAAAAAAAAAAAGTACACATAGGATATGCATTACATTATAATAATAATAATTAGAAAATCTAGGAGTCTGTAAACAGGGAACAAACATTTATTTATTTTTTTTTAGATTTTATTTATTTATTTGACAGAGAGAGAGCACAAGCACAGGGAGCAGCAGAGGGAGAGGGAGAAGCAGGCTCTCTGCTGAGCAGGGAGCCCGACATGGGGCTTGATCCCAAGACCCTGGGATCATGACCTGAGCCACCCAGGTGCCCAGCAAACTAAATAACTGTTAACTGACTACAATACAACCATTAAAAATAATTATGTATATCTGTACTTAGGTACACGGGAAGATCTAAAACTTACCTTTGAGTGAAAAAGGTGTAAGATTTCATACCTATATAAGTAGATCTATGTGGGCAGAGAAATATCTGGAAGGATAGTTACCAAAATGTAGCAGTGATTATCACTAAGGTGGGATTTTCAGGTATCTTTTGCCATCTTCTTTGTACTTGTATATACATATACTGTTTGAATTACTATTATCATTATTATTACTTTTTTTTTTTAAAGATTTTATTTATTTATTTGAGAGGGAGAGAATGAGAGACAGAGAGCATGAGAGGGAAGAGGGTCAGAGGGAGAAGCAGACCCCCCGCTGAGCAGGGAGCCCGATGCGGGACTCCATCCCGGGACTCCAGGATCATGACCTGAGCCGAAGGCAGTCGCTTAACCAACTGAGCCACCCAGGCGCCCCTCATTATTATTACTTTTAAAAGATTTTATTTTTAAACCATTTCTATACCTAACATGGAGCTTGAACCCACAACCCCGAGATCAAGAGTCGCACACTCCACCAACTGAGCCAGCCAGGTGCCCCTGAATTACTTATTTATTTTTAAGATTTTGTTTTGTTTTGTTTTGTTTAAGACAGAGACACAGCGAGAGAGGGAACACAAGCAGGGGGAGTGGGAGAGGGAGAAGCAGGCTTCCCGCTGAGCAGGGAGCCTGACGCATGGCTCGATCCCAGGATCCCAGGATCATGACCCGAGCCGAAGGCAGACGTTTAACAACTAAGCCACCCAGGTGCCCTGTGAATTATTATTTTTTAAATTAAATAGGAAGACATTTTCTGGGGATGGTGAACTTGTTTTAAAAAATAACAGAGCCGGGCGCCTGGGTGGCTCAGTTGGTTAAGCGACTGCCTTCGGCTCAGGTCATGATCCTGGAGTCCCGGGATCGAGTCCCGCATCGGGCTCCCTGCTCGGCAGGGAGTCTGCTTCTCCCTCTGACCCTCCTCCCTCTCATGTTCTCTGTCTCTCATTCTTTCTGTCTCAAATAAATAAATAAAATCTTAAAAAAAAAAAAAAATAACAGAGCCAATGTCAGAATCAGGGCTAACCACCCATAAGAAGGGTTTCCTAAGTCTCTAGCTGAAATCATGTTTGAGAAGATATAATCTAACCCACAGATCACCAGTTCTGATAAGGAGTTATAGGTTCTGCCCCAGGCCATGTGGAGCCATTAGATTAGCTGCACAGAGAACCTCTGCCAAAATACAAAGATCCTCACCTAGACTGCCGTCTACGCTAGTCTGTCCTCCACTGAGCACAGGACGCGGTGCAGAAAGGAATCGGGGGCATCCATAGCTGCCTTCACAGCAGTCTGTATATGTAGGGAGACCCCTCCGTGGGCTACTGTTCTGTAGCCAGTACAATGCTGAATTAGTGGTACTTTCCATTAATTAAGAAGCATAGTGTCATGACAGAAAAATGGGAGGAAAAAAATTACTTACAATTTTACCACTCAGAATAATCAGTTAACATAGACACAATTTTTTTGTGTGTATAGTTTTTTTCCCTCATTTTATATTTTTAAAAAACTATACGTCTTGGTCATCTTTCCGATCAGTACATATCAAAAATCTATCTCATTCGGAGTACCTGGCTGATTTAGTCAGTAGAGCACACGACTCGATCTCAGGGTTGTAAGTTCGAACCCCATGTTGGCTGCAGAGATTACTTAAAAATAACATCTTTAAAAAATAAGCAAAAAGTAAATTTAAAAAACTTTTAAAAATCTTACTCTTTTTAACTCCAGGGGTTATTTTTTGTCTTCAAACACTAAGTCTTAGAGCTAAGAAAATACTTAGTATAGCTATACCACCCCCACTTCAAAGGCTCAGAGACTCCATTAAATCAAAAACTCTTCTTTATATTAGAAATAAGCAGAAAGCTGTTGGGTGGTGACCAGAAGTACACTGCTGCCCTATGAAAGCTCAGCGGCTTCATACTGCAGGCATCTCTGCCCGAGGATGCCCATCCCTGCCTAGAATGACCTGGAAGGAATGTGACTCCTTCCCCCCGCCCAAGCTTAGCATCATGCCTTGGTGGCAGTGGAGGCTTTGCCGAACAAATGAATGAAACGGAACAAACTCAAAGTTCACATTTAACATTACCTGAGTTAATTTGCTTTGCCTGAAGGGAGTGTGGGTGTGCTCCTGATCCAATGCGCGGATACATTCCTTCAGCTGCAAAGTGGTAGATTAACAACAAGCACATCAAATATCACATGCAAAGAGAAAGTAACGGATCAGACTTTTCTTAAATAAGCCATACTCAGACAATCCTCCAAAAGGAAGTCAAAATGCCCTGGTAGTTTCTTCTCCAACAGGAAAAATCAAGCTAGACGGGTAAACATCCTGAGTGAGCTCCCTGTGTCTAGTTAAGGGCCTCCCATCCTAAAGGCTATAATCCTAGGATTAGCCCCAACAGTGGGGAACAGACAAACCAGGGACCTTCCCACAGGCCCCCCCCAGAGTCCAAGCTTATGTGGTGGCAGTTCTGCCTTGCCAGCTCCCTTTTGCTTGCCTCCTCTCATACTATTAGTAGCTATAGATGCACTTAAGTACAGAAAATCTCTATACCACTCCCCCACCTCCCTGCTCACACATGCACACCTATAGGTGTAGATTCGAGTGTAGATTCAGATAGAAGTTTCTGATAATTAGTTTGAGAGAGAGCGAGAGTGTGCACTAACTTAAAGAAATCCAAAGTGGGGTGCCTGAGTGGCTCAGATAGTTAAGTGTCTGCCTTCGGCTCAGGTCATGATCCCGGGGTCCTGGGATCGAGTCCTCATCGGGCTCCCTGCTCCTTGGGGAGCCTGCTTCTCCCTCTGCCTCTCTCTGTCTCTCATGCATAAATAAATAAAATTAAAAAAAAAAAAAATCCAAAGAGGATTTTTGCTTTTATTTAAAAGTAGGGGCACCTGAGTGGCTCAGCTGGTTAAGCCATAGCTTTGAACTGTGTCTGCAAACGTCTGTGCTTTATCTTTTGTTTTTTCTAACAGTTTTTTTTTTTTTTTAAAGTAAACTCTATGTCCCATGTGGGGCTCGAACTCATGACCCCAAGATCAAGAGTTGCATGCTCCACTGACTGGGCCAGCCAGGCTCCCCACCTGTGCTTTATCTTCATTTATTTTCTGCATCCGTTACCAAGATGTGTCCTAAGAGACTTCCGTTCTGATCAAAAGGACGTAATATGGAGGGGCACAGGCAGCACGGTATAGCGGCGAAAAGGAACAAGGAAGAGCTCTGCATACAGCCATGCAGTGAGCTCCAGGGTGTTGTTAAGTGAAGAAAGCAAAGTGTTTGCAGTATGCTTCCCTTTTTTTCTGAGGTGAATACAAATATATATATATCTGTATATATATATAATGCTTATCTAAGGGGAGGGAGGTAATAGGGTTGAGGGGACAGGGATGGACACTAGATTTCTTTCAATGTTCTACAGTTTTTACTTTAACTGAATATGAAACTGGTAAGCTTAAACATATAGAAAAGATTTCAAGTGACTGTGCAACACAATATTATGACAGTACACCTAAGTGGGATACAACCTAAGGGTGAAAGGAACTGCAAAGAAATAGTAATCTGAATTTAGTAATCGTATTATGAAAAATATCAGCATTATTTTGAAATACACATATACTGAAGTAGAGCAAATTATATAAATGTTGTTAGGAACTAAGAATTCTAACATACGAGAAAGGAGACAAAAATATAAATTCAAAAAGGTTAACCCAAAACCCTGTAATCTTAATTTTGAATTAATTTATTATAATGAGTCCCTAATGTATTTTCCTCTTTCAAAAAAAAAAAAAAATCTACTTCCTAGCTCTATCCAACAAAAAGGCCTAGAAGCCAGGACTAACCCAGTGGTAGTAAGCATCCCTAGGACCCTAAATGGTCTCTAAATGCCATTTCCTTCTAAAACCAAGGCTTGTTGAAGAATTGACTGGTTCAAGGTCTGGGGAAGGAAATGTACAAGATGAGCCTAGAAAATCTTGTCATACCAAAACGCCAGGAAGCTATTAGAGACTAATAGTTGGTCAAAAAACCAGAGGAACATACTTGAAAAGGCTCCCATTGCCCAAAGATGTACAATTTAAATACCAAAAAGAATAATAATTACAATGAGTTTATAATAATACAAAGCCAAACAAAACAGTCAATAACAACAAATTCATTGGTCATGTTTAGGTTACTAGGACACCAAATCATTCTGAAAACTGATGAGTAAAGGCAAAGAATCAAGCAAGCATTTAACTTGTCTCTACTGTATGAACTTAATTGAGGAAAAATTCTTTCCAGCTAATAAAGAAGGAATGTTAGAATGAGAGTATCACCATTTTGGAATCCCTAATGAAACAATAGATATAGGTGATGCTCATCAATGGCTGGTAAATCCATTAAGCAAAAAAGTCTGAGAGGAAACTCTAACAGAGGAATTACACAGACAACACTCAAATCTCTCTCAATTCTTAAAAATCACAAAGAGACAACCAACCGGACATTCTGTACTTCCTGATGTGTTCCTATAGGAAGTCTAAAAACTACCCATGAATTCTTGCCAAAAAACCAGAACCTCAATCTGATCAAGCTTCTAGAACAGTGCTTTCCCAACAGGAAATGTTAGCTACAAGTGCAAACCATATGTATAATTTTAAATTTCTAGTAGTCACATTAAAAAAACAAATGAAATTAATCTTTTTTTTTTTTTAAGATTTTATTTATTTGAGAGAGTGAGCGAGAGAAAAGCATGAGTGGGGGGACGAGAGGGAGAAGCAGACTCCCCTCTGAGCAGGGAACCCAATGTGGGCTTGATCCCAGGACCCTGAGATCATGACCTGAGCTGAAGGTAGACGCTTAACCACCTGAGCCAGCCAGGTGCCCTGAAATTAATCTTAATTATATGTTATGTAATCCAATATATCAAAAAATATTTAAAAACCCAGCAAAAATATTATTTCAGCATGTAACCCATATGAAAAAATATTAATGAGATATTTTACCCGCTTCAAGATCCAGTATGTATCGTACACTTAGAGCATATTTCAATTCAGATGAGCTACACCGGAAGTGCTCAGTAGCCATCTGTGGCTTACAGGCCCCTCCCGTACAGCACAAGTACGGATCTTAGCCACTCCACAGAGAATACAGAGGATAGAGTATGATGTTAAACATCCACATGGGGATGCAGTCAACCTCATCCAGAATGTTGGAAATCTTACAGGACAAGTGACCCAGTTTTCTTCAACAAATACAGATATTAAAAGAGAGAACAGAAGAACTGATATGGAATAAAAGAGACTATCAAAAGCAATCCAAGGGTACTGTTTGCATCTTGATTTGAACAAACTGTGAAAAGACATTTATGGGACAACTGGAGAAATGATAATACTTCCTGGATAATAGATAACATTACATAATTATTGGGTGCCTGCATGGCTCAGTTGTTAAGCGTCTGCCTTCGGCTCAGGTCATGATCCTGAAGTCCTGGGATCGAGCCCCATGTTGGGCTCCCTGCTCAGTGGGGAGTCTGCTTCTCCCTCTCCCACTCCCCCTGTGTTCCTGCTCTCGCTATCTCTGTCAAATAAATAAAATCTTAAAAAAAAATTAAATATTTCTTCAAGTATGATAATGGCATTACAGTTATATTAAAAAATAAGAGTCCTTATCTCTTCGAGATAATGAAATATTTGTGGAAGAAATGACAGGCTGACAGGATTTGCTTTACTATAATCCAACCAGGGGAAGGAAAGGGTTGGTTAGATTTTTCACATGTTGAAGCTGGGTGCAAGAATTTGGGAGATCATTATACGATTTATTCTATTTTTTTATGTTTGAAAAATTAATACAATTTAAAAACTTGGTGAGCGAGAGAAAGCTTACCTAAGTTAACCATTCAGCAGCTGCAGAAATACTTTTCTGCCCCTAAGGGATTGACCAGAGGAAGAGAAGAGAGGGACAGAAGGGAAGAGTTGCCTAGAACTGCTAAGAATCTGATCAGGCAGCCTCCATCTCCAACCCTGGAATCCCACTGCCAGACAGAAGCATGCCCTTACTCCACTGATTCTACCCCACCCCATCCTCACCCACTCTGGCTGCATGTAAAGAGGGGCAAAATCTCTCAAGAAGGATTTTTATTTTTTTATTATTTTTTAAAAAATATTTTATTTATTTATTTGACAGAGAGAGACACAGCGAGAGAGGAAACACAAGGAGGGGGAGTGGGAGAGGGAGAAGCAGGCGGGACTCGATCCCAGGACCCTGGGATCACGACCTGAGCTGAAGGCAGACGCTTAATGCCTGAGCCACCCAGGCACCCCTCAAGAAGGATTTTTAGATCAAAGCTTTCAAACTTACAGCCAGAAGACTCTGGTTTATTTCTGCGCCTTCCATCTTTGTCTGTCTGTCTGAGTCTCTGGCATCTGCGGCTCTTTCACTGCCAGCCAAGTCAATAAAAGAGATCCTAGAGAAGACACACAGCAGGGATAACTTCTTGGGGACTCTGCTTTATTTTTACATCAGTCAGCAATTTGGGGCAGCAGGAAGAAATTAACACTGGCCCATCCTCTGGAAAGAAAAGACACTGGCAGCTTTCCAAAAGTATTATACGATTCTGATCTGTTAGCCGTTGTGGGAGCTGTTCACTCAGACACTTCCTTTGGTTTTAATCATTTGTGAGAAATTAATAAAATTAATAAAACATTCTTCCCATAAAGCTAAATGACTACAATGCAAATCACTTAGGTCACCACTTAGGTGATATTTTTTTTTTTTTTTTTTACCACTTAGGTAATTAAATACAAACTTTTGTGGGCTGCTTTCCAGCCAAAAAAGAAAAAGAAAGAAGAAGAAAAAAAGAAAGTTAAAAAAAAAAAACAACAGACTCATTACTCAGAGGTGAGATAGGCTCATCAATCAGTGTGGCAGAGTTTGCTAAGATAGCACCAGAGAAGCAATGAATGTACCCAATTGTCTTATGGCTTCTTTCAAGAAGGATAGATTAATTTTCTCTCTTTTTTTTTTTTGGCCTGTAAGCTGAGATGCATTTCCTACTATTTCTTTGCTGATACTGTGTTTCACGTTAGAAGCAATCAATGTCCCTTTTAATAACTTAGGCTTGACCAACAATAGGTCATTACTTCATGGTTAATTAACTGATGGCACTTTAATACAATGATTTATTTCAGAGCTAACAACTCTACTCTGTATCCCTGATATTTATTAAAAACTCCATGGTGGCAGAGTGTCCTGTTGTTGATAACACATATTTCAAAGTCACATTAGGGAAAGGCAGACAATGCAATTCTTTGCGTATTTCCAGCTCACCTGCCAAATGTCCTCTTGGCTGAATCTTTGATCTGAATTTGGATGATAGCATGGGAGCGGGAGGAGTCTGCGTTAACTCCAGTGGCCCCGGTGCTGCGCTCCTTGCTGCCCTTCAGAATCACCTGAAAATAAAATCCATAGGGTGATTTCCCCAAGAAGTAAAAAATGCCCCTGGTTCCTAAGGGTTGGCTGAGAGCAATAGAGACCAGGCATATAACTTTGTCAGTATACTGCAGTATTTTCAGAAAGCTGCCTAAAGTTTAAATCATACAGAGTAAGTACCCAACAGCAATGCAAACAATGTGGAATACTAACCTTGGGGGAGAACATTCAACAGCTCAAGAGCTAATTTACTTCTTGTCTTATATATTCTTTTTAATATCTTTGATTGATTTAGCCTGACTATAGTCTCCAGGGCATGACTTGTCTCCAAGGCAATGTCCCACAGTACCCATCTATCTCAGTGACTAAAGCAAAGAACAGAAATGTGCACCATGGAATGACTGATTACAACCACCTGTTCCATCAGGAGGCAGTCATCAAGGAGGCCCCGGCCTGATGTGTGGGAACATGGAAGTAACGAGCTATCACAATTGACACGAGCCCATGATTTCCTTTGAAACCAAGTTGCCCCTCAAAATACAAGTAAAGATAACTTGGGTCCCTGTAGCCCACAGGGAGAGGGGGAATAGAGGTGAAGTCTCAGGACTGGCCTCTTGCCACCGAAAACACAGCCATAAATGAACACGCTGCCTTGATTTTAGATAGAGGGAGGAGTGTTGATTACTGGGAATAAAAAAGGTGAAGAAATATTATTTGACAGAGGGGTGCCCGGCTGGCTCAGTCAGTGGTGCGTGCGACTCTTGCTCTTGGGGTTGTGGGTTTGAGCTCCATGCTGGGTGCAGAGATTACTTAAAAATAAAAAAATCTTTATTAAATAAAACATTCATTGATAGAATCTTCACAACACCCTAGATATGAGGTGAGTTCATTATATTATGCCCAGTGTATGTTGAAGAATAAAGAGGCTGAGTTGTGGGGCACCTGGGTGGCTCAGCTGGTTGAGCGTCCGACTCCTGGCTTCAGCTCAGGTCATGACCTCAGGGTGGTGGGATCGAGACCTGGGTGGGGCTCCATGCTCAGCAAAGAGTCTGCTTGAGATTCTCTGCCCCTCCCCCTGCTCACACAGTCTGTCTCTACATAAATTTTTTTTTTAATTTTATGTTAGTCACCATACATCATTAGTTTTTGATGTAGTGTTCCATTATTCATTGTTTGCGTATAACACCCAGTGTTCCATTCAATACCCTCCTTAATACCCATCACCGGGCTAACCCATCCCCCCACTCCCTTCCCCTCTAAAACCCTCAGTTTGTTTCTCAAGAGAGTCCATAGTCTCTCACGGTTTGTCTCCCCCTAAATAAATAAAATCTTAAGGAAAAAAAAAGAGGTTGATTTGCTCACAAACAGCTGTTGTGTGACAGAACCAAATTCCATATCCAGTATGTCTGACTCCAAAGCTTATGTGGTTTCCACTATGCTGTCAGGTGCTTATGATAAATTCATTTATTTTGCAGTGAATTAAGGGTAAGGGAGTCCTAACTCATTTTTTCTCAATCTTTCAAAATTTTAATTTATATTATATTGAACATAGCCACAAGTTTCCAAATTAAGAGTCCAAAAGTTGCCAGAATCAAACTTCAATAGGCCATAAAATATCTTAACATGCAGGTACTTTTTAAAAGTTTAACTAATATGCATGGAACTAGAGGGTATTATGCCAAGTGAAATAAGTCAATCAGAGAAAGACAATTATCATATGATCTCACTGATACGTGGAATTTAAGAAACAAAACAGAGGATCATAGGGGAAGAGTGGAAAAAATAAAACAAGACGAAACCAGAGAGGGAGACAAACCATAAGAGACTCTTAAATGTAGGAAACAAACCAAGGATTGCTGGAGGGATGGCGGGGGGGAGGGATGTGGTAACTGGGTGATGGACACTAAGGAGGGCACATGATATAATGAGCACTGGGTATTATACAGGACTGATGAATCACAGACCTGTACCTCTGAAACCAATAATACATGTTAATTAATTGAATTTAAATAAAATGCTTAAAAGATAATAAAAAATAAATTAAAAAAAAAGTTTAATAATAAGTTCCTTCCTGATTTAAGCAGTTGTGTTTCTAAAGATTATCTGTATATGAGATTTAGAATTGAACTTTAAAATCAAATTTAGAATATTTTAGATGCACTCATTTTGTAAATAATCTGCTAAAAGTATAACAGGTCTATCTGATGAATCTTTTTTTTTTTTAAGATTTTATTTATTTGACAGAGAGAGACACAGTGAGAGAGGGAACACAAGCAGGGGGAGTGGGAGAGGGAGAAGCAGGCTTCCCACTGAGCAGGGAGCCCAATGAGGGGCTCGATCGCAGGACCCTGGGATCATGACCTGAGCCAAAGGCAGACGCCTAACGACTGAGCCACCCGGACACCCCTGATGAATCTTTTTATCAAGAGAAGAACTTGTTAATTTATAACACTGGATTTTCAACTACATGGCTAGGATGTTACTGCTAATTGGAAATGAGAAGAGTGAGAGCAGTAGTCCTTTCCCCTGGCTGTGGCAGGTGGCCCTGGCCTGCAATGCTAAATAAGCTCTGCTGCTGGCGAGGCCATGAAAGGCATATTTGTAACTGAAGCCTCTAGTTCAACTGTGCTTCCTCATCCTGGCCTCTCCCCTGTCACTCTGACTTCATGCTGACATAGACTGTAAAGCAATGAAGACAATGTGTGATGTTCTTTTTATCAAACTTCTCTTTCCTTTTTCTATCAGAAAAGGAAGACATGCTTACTGTGGAAAACTTGGAAAATACAGGAAAAGTATCAAGAAGAAAATATATACCTCCCATAATCCCAGAGTTAACAAGATTCTGGTGTATTTCCTTCTAGTTTTAGGGTTCTCACACCTCTTCTGATTTTTGGTTTGTTTTTGGTCTTTTACAAGCCCCGCGAAAAGACAGGGGAGATCTGGAGATCTCTTAAATCTCTGTATTTGTGTATACAATATACTTGATAAGGGAAGAAACACAGAGAAGTTGGTGACTTATCCAAGGTCACATAGGTCAAATATAGCCAGGCTAGGGAAGGAAGCCAGGTGTCCTCTGCCACATGTGAGAATACTGATGCCGCTCCTGCTGGGACACAGGGAAAGCTCTGAGAGGCCTCACGGCCATACCTAGCCGGCAACTGGGGATACAGTCAGAAACTCATAGGCTTGTTTGTGGTTCACCCCCAGGGGAGCCAAAAAAGGCCGACTTCTGGGGTTCTATTATAGAGTTTTACACTCGGTTTTCCATGCTCCTTGTCCACCTTATCCATCATGATGCATTAGGTGCCTGTGAGTATGTCTCAGAAAACCTAACATGTTGAGGAGACCTTTCTTGACTCAATGCCTTTTAGGGAAGGCATGAAGGAATTTCTGGTTCCGGTCATTTCCTCAGCTTCAGAAATAGCCTGCAATCACCATTCCTTTCAGAAACTGTGAAATAAAGCAGCTGAACTCTGAGGAGTAAAAATGATTCAGTTTGTGAAGATCATCAGACAAACAGACTCAAGTGCAGCGGTTAAGATAGTGAAATCTGAAGTTAGACTGTCTGGGTATGCATGCCAGCTCTGACATACGGTTGTGTGACCTTTTGCAATGAGCAAAAGTTTGCAAGTCACTTAACTTTTCAGAGCCTCAGTTTCTTATCCATAAAATGATAATCTCATAGTTTACTTAAGAGAACTAAGAAAGATGATACAAGATAATACATGTAAAGCACATTTTAGAATCATGATTGGCACATGGTAAATTCTCAATAAATATTCATTAAAAAGACTGATTTATTTATTTATTTTAAAGACTTTATTTATTTATTTGACAGAGAGAGACAGCGAGAGAGGGAACACAAGCAGGGGGAGTGGGAGAGGGAGAAGCAGGCCTCCCGCCGAGCAGGGAGCCCGATGCGGGGCTCAATCCCAGGATGCTGGGATCATGACCTGAGCTGAAGGCAGACGCTTAACGACTGAGCCACCCAGGTGCCCCTTATTTATTTTGGAGAGAAAGAGAGAGAGTGCACATGCCAGTGTGCGAGTGGGGGGAGGGGCAGAGAGAATCTCAAGCAGACTTCCCGCTGAGTGGGGAGCCCCACACAGGGACTCGATCTCAAGACCCTGAGCCAAAATCAAGAGCCCGATGCTTAACCACCTGAACCCACCCAGGCGCCCCCCCCATAAATATTCATTTTAATAAAGAACATCTTTTTTTTTTTTTTTTAAGATTTTTTTATGTTTTTAAGTAATCTCTACACCCAATGTGGGGCTCGAACTCACAACCCCAAGATCAAGAGTCACATACTAGGGACGCCTGGGTGGCTCAGTCTTTTAAGCGTCTGCCTTCGGCTCAGGTCATGATCTCAGAGTCCTCAGAGCAAGCCCCCCGCATAAGGCTCCCTGCTCAGCAGGTAGCCTGCTTCTCCCTCTGCTTGTGCTCGGTCTCTCTGATAAATAAATAAATAAAATCTTTAAAAAGAAAAAAAAAAAGTTGTACGCTGGACTGAGTCAGCCGGGCGCCTCAAGAACTAACAAGGAAAAAAAAGAATAAAGAGGAAAAAATAGAGAATATATTTGGGGGAAAATGCAAGTCTAGGAGCCAATAAAATTAGTGCAATCAACTTAAAAATCATGAGGCCCCTTTTCCTCTCACTACCTCCTTCTCAAATTCCTCCTTCCATAACTAAAGTCTATTAGGCAAGTTTCTAAATCTAGGTCCTTTAGACAACACATGTTATGTGAATAGGGAAATGAGGACCTGCCACCAAAGAAAGTAGAGACAACTGCTGAATTCTGTTGCCTGGGAAACATTCAGGGACATTAATATTATTAATAAGAATAGATGTGACGAATTGAGCTAGCATCACACCAAGCATTTTCTGTATGTTATCTCATTTCCTTCTCTATCACCCAACCAATCATCTACTATCATCCACATGTTTCAGGCTCAGAAAGGTAAAGGACAGGCTGAAGGATATATGCCACTGGGACCCAGGTCTGTCTGGTTACGAGGC